CTAACAAAGTTTTGCTAACATATAAGTTAGCTAACCTATGTTAGCTAACATAAAGGTTAGCTAATATATAGATTAGCTAACATAAAGGTTAGCTAAAATATAAGTTAGCTAACAAAGTTTAGCTAACATATAAGTTAGCTAACCTTTATGTTAGCTAACATAAAGGTTAGATATAAGTTAGCTAACCTTTATGTTAGCTAACATAAAGGTTAGATATAAGTTAGCTAAACTATATGTTAGCTAACATAAAGTTTAGCTAAAATATAAGTTAGCTAACAAAGTTTAGCTAACATATAAGTTAGCTAACATAGCACTCCGCTAGACACCCCCCTGAATCGATAAGATAGAACTTTATTGATCCCGCAGGAAATTGTTGAATCGAAGCACCCATCTCTTGAATGAGCTGAATAAAAAGTTACGTATTAGTAGCTAAAATAGTACAAAATATGCAGAAGACGTCCGTCCATCCAACCATGATCTTTACCCGCTTCTTCTTTTTTGGGTCGCCGGTGCCCATGTCTTGCCATCACTGTGCAAGAGGTGAGGGACACCTGGACAGGTACAGAAGAAGTGAAATTGCAAAAAACAAAACTAACAAGAAAACAATGGTGTGTTTGTGTCAATAATTACTTTTTGAACCGAGTTACTGTCAACTGGTGAAAATTGATATTAATCTCGGTTGAAAACAGTCAAACCTTTAAAATAACCACTGCATCCTTAAAAAAAACACTTATTCTTCTGCTCACTACATTTTTCTTTTGCTCAATTTACACATCTGCTTTTTTTTAACCCTTCAACTATTTTCTCATTTCTCTACTCACTGTGAACCATTGTACCATTCAATATTTGTGTTGTATTACCATCATTGGTATTTTTTTAAATTAACCCTAAAAAGATTATGTACCCCTGCTTGCTTCCTGCATGTCATATTGTGTATATCTGATGTTCCCTACCTCTAACCCTTACAAAGACCCCTACTAATTGTAGCAACTCTTAAGTATGTCATTATTGGCATAAATAATTCCTCCTTGCTCGGACTTCAACTGGACATTTTGAGTTTGGCCCTTTACAAACAGATTTTCTACATTTCCTTTGTTTGTTCAAGTCGAAGCACATGTACCGATAAAACTCGTCTTTGACGTACTAATACCTTTCAGCACCAGTCATTGACACTAAATCTTGGAAACAAATGCTCCCAGAAATGAGCCATGTTTCTTATTGTGGTCTACAAAATTTAACTTTTTGAGTCATGTGATGCGTATCGTGACTCCCGCTCTAACCTTTACCCCGCTGGTCCAACCGGTGTCACCCATCCCTCTCGTCCTCTCAGCGGTTCTCGCATCAGGTTCAGGTGCGTCAGGGGTTAGAGGTCAGGTTGACTCTGCTGTAGCGGAGGCGGTTGGCGTCACAGCGGGTCATGTTGGTTTCTCCTCAGGCAAGGAGAAAGCCAGCCCTGCCAGCCGCCCTGCCCACCCTGACCCACAAGCCCCGGACAGCGAGTCCGTCATCGTTGCCATGGAGAGGGTCTCCGTCCTCTTCGACAGGTGAAACCTCTTCACGCACTCTGCTGTAACTTCATGCAGTGTTTGTAATCTACACAGTTTCCTTCATTTCTAACCTACTGATCGTGTTAGCTTGCTAAAATAATTTGTCTCAAAGAAAAACAGGAACCCTTTTTTTTTGTTTTACATTTTTTATTTACTATTGTCTTCTCTCGTTGCGTAGAATCCGGAAAGGTTTACCAAGTGAGGCTCGAGTGGTGTCCAGGATTCTGCCCCAGTTTCTGGACGACTTCTTCCCACCGCAGGACGTCATGAACAAGGTCATCGGAGAGTTCCTGTCCAACCAGCAGCCGTACCCACAGTTCATGGCCACTGTGGTCTACAAGGTCAGCAGCAGCTTTATTTTATAACTGGAAGAAAGAAATCAGGGTTAGTAACTGAACGACTCAAAGCCAGCTTCTCTTTTAAGGCGTATATTTAAAAATAAATTGGTCTTATCAGTCTTTACGTTCTTGCCTTCATGTATTCTTGAATGACCCCGTTTGACCCGTTCTTCTGCAGGTTTTCCAGACGCTCCATGCTACAGGCCAGTCTTCGATGGTGCGAGACTGGGTGCTGCTGTCTTTGTCCAACTTCACTCAGAGGACACCGGTGGCCATGGCCATGTGGAGCCTCTCCTGCTTCTTCGTCTCTGCTTCCACCTCCCAGTGGATCTCTGCCCTGTATCCTTGCATCACGCGGTGCAGAGTTCACGAAACACGTGGTTTTGTACCGTTCAGTTGAGCTGCACTTCTGCTTCCTGGACCTTCGGATCATCCTGAAAAAGTAAAGTAGTCAGTGTATTATCTGCAGCAAGCTGTGGTCAGAGCAAAGAGAAGCCGACAGATCAGCCGAGTCAGCAGCTGCTCTAAGCTCGACAGGAGAAGAGCTCATTTTGACATCTTCAACCTGAGCAAATGTTAAATTGTGAATTTGTAGATGGTTTTAAGTGAAGCTACATTTAAGCTGCCAAAGTATCTTGGTGCTGTGCAGGTTACAGCCATTTAAAGTAAAATAAATTGATAATAAAAAATACAGTTGGGACTTGTGTTAAATCACAAGTTAACTCATCCAAAGTCCTGCAGCTGAAAACCCGTCAGCATTTTTGACATTTCTTTTCAGCGGTCCAACAAGTGACGGTGGAGGGAGATGTTCTGACAGTAAAGCTGAACTCACCTGTGACCATAGTTTCTGCTTAATAATTATTTCAAAATAAACTACCGTGGCAGCAACAAACATTGAGACGCTTTGAGTTTATCTCAAATGAAATTGCATTTCCTGCAGAAATGCAGTGGGAATGCGTATTGCAGAAGAACTTGCTGAAACACAGCTGAAATGTAGCTGAACTGGAACAACAAGCCTAAGTTAGAGGAAAGCAGAAAGAACATATACTGATATTTGCTGGATTAGGTTTAAATAAGCAGAAATGAGCACAAAAATTAGGAAATTAGCTAAAAATAGCTGAAAAGGTTGAAAGAAGCTTAAACTTTCTGAAGGAAGTGGAAGGAGCTGAAATGAACTGTAAAATGTGGCATTAGCTGAAAAGGCTAAAATTATCACAAAGCAATAACCGAAACGAGCAGAAAGGAGCACAAGAAGCTGAAATTAGTAGAAAGAAGTTGGTTAGGCTGAAAGGAGCAGAAATTACCACAGAACACTTAAATTTATCTGCAAACAGCTGAAATTAGCTAAAATGCTAAAAAGCTAGCTGAAAAGGTAGAACAAGCTTAAATTAGTAAAATTACCTGAAGGAAGTGGAGAGAACACAATTTTGCTGAATTAAGCTGAAAAACGTTTAAATAATGGCAAAAAATGTGGAATTAGCTAAAAAAGTTTAATGAGCATGAAAATGGCTAAATAGCAGCTGAAATAGCAGAAAATGCTGAAACTTGCAGAAATAGGCTGAAAGGATCAGAAATAAGTTTGAAGAAGCACAAAAATGTAGTAGTTAGCAGAAAGAATCTGAAAGGAGTACAAAACAGCTGAAATTAGCTGAAAATATGTTAAAAATTGCAGAAGGAAGCTGAAAAAATATGAAAGGAGCAGTAAAACGTTGTAAACAGATCTAAAGATCTGAAGGATGAAAAATGAGGTCAGATCATTTCTTATGAGATAAAAATGGCAGAAAATGCTAAATATTTCAAAAAGCTAAAGTTGCACCAATACCAGACGTCACAGCAGGATTGTCCTGAAAGAGCCGAACGTTTTGATTCATGATTTGTTGAAATAGCCAAAAGTTGTGGAACGAGAAAGAAGCTGAAAAACATCCAGAAGAAAAATGGATCCCAGTAAAGTGAAAGTTTCATAAACACTCGCATCATTAATAGAGAACGGCTGCATTAATTCTTTACATCGACCCGTTTTAACTAAACATGAGGTTTGATTTATATCAAAATAAGAGTGAAAGTCCGAGTTTGCTCCAAGCTTCTATAAATGTACAAGGTTCGAGTTGAACCTCACACAGCTTCATTTGTAGACTCCAGCTGACTCCTAGACGAATTAATCAGACGTGCGGTCCAAATGCAGCTCTGCTGTAAACGCAGATTTAATTAGATTTTTTACTGCTAAGCAAACGGTGGCGTTTGTTTTTTTCTCCTTATCTTCCCTCGATGTTCTCCAGACTTCCACACGTGATCAGCAGAATGGGCTCCAGTGAGGTGGTGGACGTCAACCTGTTCTGCCTGGTGGCCATGGACTTCTACCGGCACCAGATCGATGAGGAGCTGGACCGCCGGGCTTTCCAATCAGTGTTTGAGACCGTGGCCTCGCCGGGCAGCGCTTATTATCAGCTGCTGGGCTGCCTGCGATCAATCCACCAGGACGCTTCGCTCTGAAGGCAACACACCGAGGGGGCGGCGGGGTGTGTGTGGTGGGATGACATCTAAACGCTCGCTTCCCTGATAAGGTGGGGTTTAGTAAAAGAACAAAGTGTTCATTTGAAAAAGCTGCTGCAGCTTCATTTGTTCCCCACCTGTTTCCACTGATACGAGCGACTGCTGAGCCCAGAGGAGAGAGTCCAGTTTACAGTTATCAGAAGGTCCGTCTCTGAACAGGAAGTGGACATTTCAGCAGCCATGTGAAAGCCAAAACTCTGCCTGCAGCCACGGTGGACTCCTCTGCACCTCCTGCACAGCACCTTGTCATTAACAGAAAAACTGCGTAAGATAATGTAAGTCCAACACGAAACAGCTTTGTTCCTTTTCCTGTAACGACTCGAGTCTCAACGGCGACGACGTGCTTGCTATATTTAAAGGCTCCATGCATTTTATTTTTAGTGAGGGGATATGTGACGGGACAAAGGCTGGCTCGGGGGGGCCAGACGCGCCTGCTCAGTGTTTGTAATCTGTGGATATTTAAATTATGTGCTCAGTCCATAATAAATGAAGTTGTTTACGTGTAAGAATGATTTAATATCTATGGCAAATGAATATTTTCTGGAGATGTGTAAGAATCCACAAGTTCTCTGGATGTTACGATAAAACAGTTACATGCAGGATCATTTAAAATAATTTAGTTTATTTTTTTTATCAAGTTTGTGATTTTAACTGTTCAGGAGCCCATAAACAATATCTGCACTCAAACACTGCAAACCATTAGCAAGACAAAAATGCTTTTTTCTTAAATAGTAAAGTATTGTTTCTTTTTATTTAAATAATTTGCTTAAGTTTTTTTTTTTAAGTTTGCTTTCGCGTCCTTCAGTACATCAAAATATTTCTGGTACTGTTTTTTTAATTCTCAGGACTTGAGTTTGTCCTTGTCAGAAGACTGGAAGTACCGGTAGTCTGAAGTGGAGCTACCTTTGTATCTTGTAAAGAAACTAATGCGCAGCAGCACAAACGCTGCAGGACAACATAAGAACTTAGCGAGGGTGCACGTGTCCGAGACTTTTAGATAACGGGACGCCTTTTGTTTGTGTTCTTGTCGTGACACCAGCGTTCACTAAAGTAAATGTAAAGTGTGTGAAAGACGTGGCCGGGCTCTGCCTCGGGTCACACTGAACGTGCACGTCCTGCACTGAGGGCATGTTTAGCAGCAGCTTCTGGCTTTGTGTCCAACTCTGCGTTTCTATGGGTACTGTTGCGTGGACGAGATGTGACACGAGCCAAAGGGAGCCCTGGAGACCGACAGCAGCTTTGACAAATCAACCGATGAAGCAAAATCAAACCACAGCAGCTTCTCCTCCATTAGTGGAGCTTCAACTGTT